CTGTGATGCAATTTCCTCGTGAATCTTGTTGATTTTCTGTTAGTTGCGGCATATTTAAGTGAAATCAGATTAGTGGTATGTGCGCTGAGTGAATGTCTAATTAACGATGCATATTTACGATCTTCATGGGTACTTTTGTTGATTCTTGTTGGTTTCAGCGGGTGATGAGTGCTGAAATTTCTTTGATATTATTCTCACTATTGGGCCTGCTCGATATTTCTAAGTTATGCTTTAATTTCTTGCTTAGAACGAATTGAAGTGATTCCTTTGGCTGTTAAAACGGTAGTTATGCTCCAAAAACTAATTATGATGACTCACTTTGCTTTTACATGCCTTATAGCTTTCTTTGATTCTTATTTCTTCTACTGTTTCGAATGTGTAGCTATGAGTATTATTCTTCTATCTCTTTCTTTATTTGTTTGATGTTTTGTCTGCTTTGGATTTGTTTCATCCTAATGAACAAGAATTATTGTGCCTAAAATTAAGGGGTGGAGGTTGGGGAAGATCTAGCCCAGTAGTTGTGATGCCTAAGTTCTAAATCTGGGGGTACATTTATATGACCCAGCCACAATTAAGCTTGTTCGTCCTTAGAAATCGAGGCGTGCCATTTAGCAAATCACCATGGCCCTCGCAAAGCTAAAACGCGTAGTTGCTTTAGGCGTCGTACTTTAATAATATTACTTTCCTAACTCGGTGTGCATTTCATGTGACCCAAATCCAATCCTTATAACGTTGAATAAATGTGTTCGGATTACGGTGCATTTCATGTGACGTGATCCAAAGACATATTTAGACGACGTTAAATCTCTTTAAAAATGAATAAAAGCGGTTAAAAGTTAAAATGTACATAGGTTCAAAATATTCTTAAAATCAGATAATTATGCCAAGTATAGCAGTTGAGCGACCGTGCTAGAACCACGGAACTCGGGAATGCCTAACGCCTTCTCCCGGGTTAACAGAATTCCTTACCCGGATTTCTGGTTCGTGGACTGTAAAACAGAGTCAACATTTTCCTCGATTCGGGATTTGAACCGGTGACTTGGGACACCATAAATCTCCCAAGTGGCGACTCTAAATCTTTTTAATTAAATAATCCCGTTTCGATTGTCACTTCAAGTTGGAAATAACTCCCTTTATTATATACCCTTCCGGGGGTGTAGGTAAAAAGGAGGTGTGACAGGACGTTGATACCCATTTTTTCCTCACACACACACACACACACACACACACACACACACACACACACACACACACATATATATATATATATATATATATATATATATATATA